AGAAGGGAGAGGAAGCGAGGGGGATCGGAAACCAGGGAGAAGAGTTCGCCCTATAAATTGACACGAGAGGCGGGAGCTTTCGTGCGTGCGGCCGGAGAGTAATGGAAGGAAAGAAGAGAGGCGTGGCGTGCTTTCTTACCCGAGGAAACTGTTGGGTAATGTGGAGACCCGGTCTACCGAATTTAATTAGCTTCTTAATTAAGTATCCCACCTACCGCTCACCTATCGCACCCACCTACCGCTTACCTACCACCTCCCACCTACCGCTCACCTACATCCCACCTACCGCTCTCATGGTTTCTATAAATCGTATCTTTTGGTTTAAAGGAAATGCAAGCCAAACAAGACCAAACCAAGTCATCTTGAGAGCTAAGCGAAAGAGAGGAAGAGAGAGAGAGAGAGGAAGGGAGAGAAGAAAATAGAGATTTTCTTGTAAACATCGAGGCGCTCGACGGTGTAATTCCTCGAAAAAATAAAATCCTCTGCAGCTCCGTGGACGTAGACAAATTTGACGAACCACGTAAATCTGTGTGTGTCGCTCTGGTGTTTTTTTTTCTGCGTGCAATTTTACTCATTCAAATTTTTCGTTCTATTGTCTCGCTCTGGTGTTTTTTTTTTTCTGCGTGCAATTTTACTCATTCAATTTTTTCGTTCTTTCGTTCTATTGTCGTCGTTTTTTACAACAGAAACGATGTAGCAGACCTCGTGCTCGATGGAAGTAGCGGATCACAACGTCGCTTTGCTATGTCGAGTCACGACTTGAGGTAGACGAAGGAAGACGACGTGCGAGCCGAATCCTGCATGCAGATGAAAAAGAAGCTCTCCCGTGTGCAAAGGAGGGGTTCGTGTGCGCTGCTACCATGCAAAGGAGGAATGAGGCATCCACGTCGAAAGCTCGTACGAGAGGGTGCTGAGTGCAGAGTGAGCAGTGCATATGCGGGCTTGGGCTCGATCGAGGAGATAAAATTTAATAATGTTTTGATTTAATAATAAAATTAACATATTGAATAGAAAATTAAGCAGGATTGCATAAAATAAAATATGAAATTTTTTTAAATAAGTAACGTAAAGATAATAACTAATTAAAATAATAATTTATTCAAATTTTGCAATATAAACATCAAGTTACGATAGGGTTCTAATTTAGAAGAGTCGACGCCAAGACAAATTTAAGAACAAATTAACTGTCATCGAGATGAGCACTCATACTTTTAATCTATAGTAACATTTTGATTCATCTAAACTATTTTGCATTAGTAGTTAATGATACTTATACAAATTTTATTTTGATTTACATGTTTTTTTCTTTATTGATCACATTGTTATAAATATTTGTAGCTACTTACTATCATGCATTGATGTATGTTATATACATAGTATATTAAATTGAATGCATTGAACACATGAATGATATGTTTATATTGACTGTCTGTATGTGCATGACTGACTATGATCGCGCGCGAAAACCTTCTGCCGTCTTATTGCACGCGAAGAACTTCTGCCGCCTGATCACACGCGAAGAACTTCTACCTCCTGATCGCACGCGAACACCTTATGCCCCGATTGCAAATCCCTCACCTGCGCCGAACCATCGAACTTCGTCTTCTTGCGCCAAGCTATCCGCCGACTTCACAGATTCGACCTTCCTGTGCCAAATCGTCGAAGCCATAGTCGAACCAAATCGACAAAATTCGTTCTTGCTGCGCCGAAATTTTTCTGCCCTAGAACCTCGCTCTGATACCACTTGTTGAGAAATTAGGACAAGGAAAAATAATCGACACAAATCCCGAAGAACACCGAGATTTAATGAGGTTCGACAAAGATACCTACATCATCAGGAGCAGAGCGTCAGCTTTCCTTCAATTCTGAAAAAGAAATACATAATACAAACTTAAGCCATAAGGTTACAAACAAACATACATATAACCCTTGAGTACAATATGTAATTACAAAATTACCCTTGTACCGTACCGCGGGACGTTACCCCTGCACCCCCAACCCACGTAATGAAACTCCCCCAATTGGACAGATTCTTCCGCTTCGCTTCGCTGCTCACTCCGTTCCGCTTCAGCATCTGCCCCTTATATGGTATATGAGTCATACCTAACAAAGGTGAAAGCCATGCCAACATAAAATAAAAAAAAAGAGTTAAAACTCGAGGACTCAAACAACAACTTAATAAAAAAAAAATATCAAACATAAAAAAAGGAGACAAAGTTCAAACTTAACAGAAGCAGGATAACAAACAAAATAAAAAAAAATCAGCAAAACTGAAACATAACAATAACAACAACTACTACAAACAACAATAAAAGATAAAAACTAACACCAACATTATCTAAAACAACATTAACAATCATCATTAATATCAACAGAAACAACAATGGTCAGTGAATCCTAGAAGAACAATAGGAAATAGGAGGGAGACCACATAAAATAGGCCATTCTTAAAAAGAATGAGTTTCAACAATACTGTAAGGAAATTAATTAAAAAAAAAAATACAATTGAGACTATAAAAAATAAAATATCAATCTAAAACTCAAAAATCAAAAACTCATTATAAAAAAAAAAAAGAGAACTAAAAAAAAGATATCATTTTAATAAACTATAAAATAAATTTCATAAGTTTTTTATAGAAAAATATAAAAATTT